CCCATTGACTACTGACTCATTTCGTAACCGACAGACAGCATCGAATGGGTGTAGCGGAAATTGCAGCGAGCACATCTTTACTCGTGTCCAAATTAGTCCTTGGGTGCATTCGCCACACTCACCTGGCAAAGCGTTTATTGCTTTTTTTAGGCAAAACCCATTAACGAGTGGAAGAAGTGGAGAAGGTGCATGCAAGTCACGTGATTCGATGGGAAGATAAACACTGTTTTACCCAGCACTTGGGATGCTAGCGACTAGCTGCAGGAAACGCATGGCCAAACGGACATACAAGAGGTGTAGTGAAATGTTTGAATGAGTGAAAATTCCCACTTGGGTATGCTGACCGCATGGGAGAAGTCGAAAGGTGAAGCAGCACATCGAAAGCAACTTTCGACGGGAAGCAGAAAGGAATGCAAAACGAACATCCCTTCGACCTAATCACAGTGAATATCGAAAGCTGATCAGTGAACACAGAAACTCCCCCAACAAGTACTTTGTCCGGATGAAATGTATAGCACCGCAGGATTGCAGAAAGTAGAAGAAGAAAGCTACATCATAAAGCAGTATTAAGGGAACATGGTTCGAAGTACAACGGCCGATAAAGTGAGGTCAGGTACTAAGTAATGTAACATTGAATCGACTCAAGTTACCGGTGGGATGGTGAGAGGAGGCACCCGCATAAGATTGCCAATTATACCGACGACGTCAGCGGATGAGATGAGTGAGAGCACCTGCGTTGACAACGGGGTTAGATACGCACTGCAGATGCGAAAGCCCCCATAACTTCAAGATGGGAACCACAGTCTAATGTCTCACTGTTGAGATAGGGGGCATCGGCAAACTGTCGTCGTAACATGCACAAATAAAAAGAGTAGGCAGCTAGCCTTGAAGGATCCATGAGAGATTAAGAGAAACAACACCAATGCTGTCAACAGTTGTCAAATAGCATAATACGTGAACCGTAGAATTTTTCAAAATAACCAAGAAAGCAAGTCAACTCGTTTCAACAAACTGGTAGCGCATAATCATCCAGTCAAACAGGGATTTTCCGCTCCAAACAATTCGGAGGTCATCAAAACGCCCATAGAACCCATGCCAAGGTGGGAATACGTTTGAACTCATTGCAGGGACAGGGACGTTTACAAAAATGTCAAACGTAAAGAACCAAGAGGTGAAACCTTCAGTCCAATGTTCAGCAGTAAAGTAGTGAATAAGTGAGTATGATTTAATATGTTTCACGCACACGCGAGTCTCTCGGAAATATACAGGATTAGATGGACAGTAGACAGTAAAAGCAGTCGGATGCAGGACAGTGCTCGGAGCTGCGACCAACTCGTTTAGGAAGAACGACCATATACGGTTGGATCGTGTACAGTTCTAACCCATACCCATTAAAGATGGCTAGGGAAACGAATGTCATGAGAGAGGGAGAGTATTAGGAAGTCAAACGAAACGAATACTTCCGCACGATGATACGACACGACCGTGCCGACAATGTGAGCGGGCTTCCCGCCGGATATGCGAAGGACCGATCAATTATGGAACACAGGCGCGATATGAGGGGCTGGCGAACGTATGTGAGCGTCGATCAGGTGACAGGGTTTGTATCCTGGCCCGTGTATAGCCGGCCAAACATGAAACACAGGCGTGATGTGACTGACTCGCAAACTCGGGTGGATATGGACTGAGTGAACGAGGGTTGTTCCTTGACATGAACAAACGGCCAAATATGGTAAACTAGGCCAGGGGAATGCGTTCAGATTGGTTGAGGCCAGGACGCCAATGGGGCGAGCACGGTTCCATGGTTAGAATGTGCGGTTAGCCAATAAATACAGCCGTCCTTTCTATATCATTTCCCGGCCAAGTCGTCCTGTTGGGCAACAGAAATAATCTGAGGGGGCATTCAACATGAGCCTACTCAATTAATTTGTTCCGTGCATACGCCAGTCACTTGTGCAGGTGTGCGTGTATAGTCCACCGCCTTCAGCCAATCGTATCTCAGACGCACTAAGTCATAGGGGTGCAGGTGGGACGCTTCAGCTCCTACGCACGGAACAAATTAATTGAGTAGACTCATGTTGAATGCCCCCTCAGATTAATTCTGTTGCCTAAGAGGATGACTTGGCCGGGAAATGGTATAGTAGAATATACACCGTCTACCGAGCTTTGACTTTTAACTTCGTGATTGGATTGGACACCAGGCAGAGCAGATCATGGGCAACAGTACCACAGGCGTAGCAGTATGACAAAAAGCTCGAGGTTAGGAAAAAGGATCTGTTTGATCAATCACTGAGTGTGGGTCCACAGTGACGTAGTGCGTGTCGGAAGAACACGTCTAGTTCAGACTGTTTCTGCCTTAGACAAAATCAATCAGGAAGTGAGATTTTGGGCGCGAGCGATACAAAAAACACGCATAACTTTATACCCGAATTATCAAGGAAGACGAAGAACTGGGATGCTTAGAGGCTTTGAGGTGAAATCCTGGAGACACCTAAAACGCAGAAATTGTCAGGGTGTGTGAAGGAACATGTGACGAGGAGAACAAAGGACGGAGTAAAGACGAAAGCACCCATCTAGACAGTCAGGGGATAGGTCTCAGTGTGAGGCTCTACCAACAGATACGCATGCGGTGATAAAGGAATTCGATTGGAAGAGTGTAGAAAAAGTCAGCGGTGCAGTACAAACACTCTTAGTATGCAGGCGTAATGAAAAGGAGCTGTGTGGTAAACAGCATTGAAACATGAAACCAACAATCACAAGTCGATGAAACCTGGCGGCGTTTGCGGTGGACCATTCACTGTCTCACCAACAGAAACAACAACGAGTGTTCACTGGTGGGCTCAACTGACCAGCATAACGCATTGTTGGTAATGAACTGAAATAGTACACATGTATACTCGATGTACCAGTTAGGGTTTCTGATGTTCCATAACCGCTACGCGTGTCTTGCGTGGTGCGGAAAAAGGATGAAGTGTTCACTTCATGCGGTCTGACATAGCACTCGCAAGACGTTAGAGAAGATTGGTCGGTTAAACAGCCCCTAGGTACATAAGAGAAAGAAATGTACAGCCGTTTCTTCTTACTGGAGCTAGTTAACAGCACGTATTCTCCCCGGGTCCTGCGGAAGTCGAAGTCACAATGAGTGTGTTTAACTCATGAACTTATGTTATTGGGTAATGGGCGAAAGAGCCGGATCAATAAGACGATTGGGTATGATATAGCGTGGCTCAACCTGCGCTGCTATACATGTTGCGAACGCTCAAAGACAGGATTGGCATCAAGAGTCACAATTCTCCCCACAAGCCGCTATAAATCGAAGTGTAAGTTAAGCTGTTCCAGTGAACAATGATGAAATGGCACTCAAACACTTTTCTGGATCCATGTAGAGCTGACTGATAGGGAATTAGTGACGACGAATGTCTTCTAAAAATATGCAAAAACCCCCACTACTTTCAAACGATTTGAGAGACTGCCCAATGAGCGCAAGGCATGGCTGTGCTACAATGTTGTTAGTGAAATACCGTCCACACATTTCAAGGCTGTTTCAGACTGTCGACAGACGTGCAGAGAAATTACCCATTTGCGCAAGTTAAGCTGAGATATGATGCATGAGTAAACACAGAGCTTGCTGTCACTGTGATTCTAAGGCACACAGCAGCTCGTGGAGATTACGCTTCATTGCATCTGCATGGTAACATCACTACAATAAAGGAACGAAAAACACAGGACGCATTATTTCTCTCCTGTACTCAGATTCAAAACAAACATATGTGGGGCTAGAGACGATGTCTGATTTAGACAGAAAGGGGAAGAAAGAAAGGCATCAGCAGAACGCAACCACATTGTGTACCGACACTTCTTAACCGCCGCCGCCGGTCGGTCGTGCGTGGGCTGGATACACCGCGATGTCGCTTGCACCTACGCGAATTCGAACTGGAGATTGCAAGATAAGTGCGTAATCTTTTCGGCAAGCAGCCGGCATTTTATTTTTAAGGAATATGACAATCGAGGAACACAGGTGCGTGGAGACTCAAAGTGACATGGATGCCCTGCAACCACCGAGTTCCGTCAAGGCAAATGAAGCGCAGGATAAATATGACTGGAGGGAACGAAAACAAAAAAGAAGAGCGAATGGAAAGGTTTTTGAGCCTCCATGAAATAGAAATCAGATGATTCGGAGTGCGAGACAATGCTAGAAGTTGGCTATCCCCAGGACTCCCTTTCTCAACTTCACTTACTAGGGAAGCAGTCAAATGAGTAATTTGAGAGATGGATTTGCTGAACCTGATATAACGAGAAAATGGGTACTACTACATATTACATTGCACAAGCTTCCAGTAAAAGCAATAAGATTATCCATTCGATCCAAGTAAGGCAGCTTATTGAGAGCCACGAGGGAGCGCCTGGAAGCGGCGGCCCCGATGTCCTAACAGCCCCGTGAGCGCTGCCTAAAACACAATCGGTATAAAGAAGATGTAAGAGCTGGATTCCTCGAAGGTCGCAGTTCGTGAAATATGGCCACAATGACTACACTACTGCGGACAAACATACACCGCTCACAGAGGATTGGTGCTCCTACTGACGTCTGCAGTAAAAAGGAGAAAAATGCTTGAGGTGGACAAAAGAACTGCGGAATATAGCAATCAGACAAAGGAAATGTTTGCGCCGCGGCTAAATGCAACACTCACCGAGGGTAATGCACGGGTACACATGCTAACCACATTTGTACTCGACGTAGACGAATACACACAGCTAAATCACTCAATTTCGTTTCTCAGTGCTTAGTGTGGACAAAATGGGAGCAATTGCAGCTGAGCTGATTGATATCGCACTGGCTTGCTACGTGGGTGAAGAGAAAGGTTTATGTGAGTAGCCAAGAAGAGAAACCCGAAGTAATCGCAAAACGTTAAAATTTTACTGATTTTCTGCGGGAACCCATCACAAATGATGGTCGAACCTACACGGATAGTTACGTGGGTAGATAAGTACCTACAACCTACTTTGGTCACAACGCGGCCAACCTTCTTGACTAGAGTGCTGTTCGTACTGACGGCCGTGCCGGCAGAAGCGGTGGATGAACACGGTTCCAGGGCCTCGTAGACAAGGACAACTCGCCCCCCTTCGCCAACTTCAGGAATTTCGGCTTCTCCCTCCTTACTCATGATTTCCATGTATTGAACTTGGGGCACACATGCAAATTGGCAATCCTCCGTGACGGTGCGCATGACACCGCGATGGGTGCGTTCACCCTTTACCGGTCGCACTCCAAAGGCGTCTCCGCGTGTCAATTCTCGTATGGTGCCGTCGGGTTCGATAACCTGAAGAATGAAGCAAACAAGAGTATGGTAGATGTCCTACAGTGGTGCACTCTAAGAAGCAGCAAAGACAACGCGTTGCCATAGTGAGCTAGAGAAATCGAGCAACACAACAATTAATGATGGGCTCACCTCGACTGTTCCATTTAGAACTACAGACCAGGTGTCCAGTGGCTCGTCCTCGTCCAAAACAACTTGACCTGCTTCATGTACCATTGCAATAATCATAACACTGCATAAAGCGCGACAAGTTGCCTTAGTGAGGTTGGAGAACGCCTGGAGACAGAGAATCACAAGAAGTAAAGACGGGCAATATTATGCCAGAAGTGAGACAGTTGAGAAACACCAGAGATCACTTACAGGCAACTGTTGCACGTTCTCCATTAAAATGCGGATGTCCTCCTCAGTACGCTCAGAAGGTACCTTGAGTATGGACTCCCAGAATGCATCTCGAAGAGACTAGGCAGAAATGGTAAGTTAAAAACATGAGGTGGATCCAATAAACAAAAGGGCGTGCAGTTCAGTTAAGCACATCGGTTCTAATTGAAATGTCGAACTGCGCCGGATTCACTTAACCGGGGAGCACGCTATTACGACTAGAATAATTAACAAGCGTGAAATGAAAACGGGCGTGTATGTATGGGGAAAAGCGCATAAGGGAAAAGGAAGCAAGAAAAGACACCAGATAGGGTCTCCAACCACCGACACAGAGCTCATAGTTGAGAAGACACCTCGCATAAGCGCCAAGTGGACTTTCGGTGGTTATCTTTTTTTCACGAATCTGCAAATCTATGCTCTGTGCGCCACAAGATTCCACTGAATCAGCTGCAACATCAGCGAACAACATACGCCGTGGCAGGCGATAAGCAGACATTTGAGCACGCCAAATAGATCATGTAAGGAGTAGATAGCTGTTTGGCCACAAGGTACCATGGTGAGACGAATGCACGGGACTGTTTGTAGGTCACAGGCTTTAGAGGCATTCCACTGACTGGTTCAGTCCCCAGAGAGAAGTATTACTTATCGAACGCCAAGTGCGAAACGCAACAACCCGGAACGAGAGGAGTTTGATTTCAACAACGCTGATGTCAATGTAGCAGCAGGTGCAGTGAACGACAACTGCGGAGTAACTTTCGAAGAATTTGAAGTGCTGGCGCGTCAAGTACTCTGCTCCCGTAAACAGAAGCATACCAATGTTACTGTCACATAGACTTCATCTGATGATGCCAGTCTTTCGAAAGGGTTTCAACTCTGTGTAAACCGAAGATGACCAACGGGGTCGCTCAAATGTACACACCGACTTCGACTCTAAGTTCAGTGAATACGCAACAACAAATGAATATTCGTGTGCACATAACAAAATCATTCGTCAAAAATCTCAGCTGATTTGGTGAACGTAATCACTACGGGGTAGGGTTGGTCAAAACGGAACGGAACGGAACGACTTAAAAAATCGACCCGATTCACTATAAACCTGGACACTCTCAGGAATGCGTTACCCAAATATACACCATGTATATGCTCATAGGACTTGTGTAGCAACGTGAAGGTTATATACCTCGACAAATTTAATTTCCGAAATCAGCGGGCAACTTACCCGAACCATTTCATTCGAAACTTTTTGGACTTCCCCACCCACTGTCGAATTAGAAAGCTGTGATCACTACATGTCCCTTAGACGGCAATAGAAGCCACAGGATTTCCGCCGCCCATTTTGAAAATAACAGCGCTTCGTGGAGATGAAACGATTTCAGACAGGAAGTACCATGGGAACTATAATTAAAAGTTCCCAAGTGGAAACCCTACCTTTTAATCTCCGAACAAAAATGCATCTAAGATGAGGCGCCTAATCTGTCTGGGATCGTTCATTATTTTATTTTATGTTGCGCTTTGTGTGGCATGTTCTGATCCAGCTTTCTCGAGAAATGAGTTCTTTCTTTCTGACCGAAAATTGTTTGTAATAAAGAAGTTAATCCTCATTCGATTGGCCTACTTGGTATAGGAAAGATTCCATACCTTGTTAAGTTGCCCACCGATCGCACTCTGTAAGATGAGTTCGTCTTGGCTTATGGAGATTGCAACGACTGTCACAATCACTACTGTTCAAAACATGCAAAAGCGGGAAAATTGCGAAACAGGAACAACCGCGAGCGTAGGGCACCGATCCGATGCAAAACTCAAGCCAAATCAATTGTTTTGGGTACTCAGCAGAAATGGCGAATACGGCGTCATGAAGTGCACACGATCACACACGTACGCATCTACCGTGGTGACGCTGTGAGCACGTGGAATGAAACAGCAACGGTGACACAATTTCTATGCTGTTTTAATGCTACGCCTTGACAACGGAAGTTGTCTTCCAGTAAAGAGAGCGCAAGTGGCCATGTATATGTAGATGCATAAGACGAGGAATCGGGCACAAGCCATTCAGCCTGGAGGTCCAAGTCAAGCGGCGTGAGTGTCACTAGGTTGTCGCCCGTCGAAGAAGGCTACTGCTAGCGGCAGGCACATGGTCCCATAGCTCTTAGTGGCACATTTTTGGATTAGACACTGAGGCTGCTGGTGGATGAAGCTCAGAACAATAACAAAGGCGAAAGGGTAGGTTAATTTCCAAGCATGAACATCAGTCACAAGTGTGCTGGTGTAGCATGTCTGATGATGTGGTCTAGCGTCGATAATGACGTGAGGTTGTAAGGGACTGAAAAAAGTACAATATATTAACGGTGTGAAGCTTGTATGGGTAAGGGAGATGGAGGTTTGCAAGAATAAAACAAGACGTGCAACAGCAGGCAGTGACGCTGTACCCCGGGTTCAGCGTGGGGTTTTGCATGGAGTCATCCGTGCTCACGGTTGCCCCGTCACCAGCCTTAGTTGAAAAAGTTTCACTGAGCATGCCTAGTGAGTATTAACGCTGCATACCGTGGGATACGTGTGAGTTGGGAAAAGGTAGAGCTGAAGCGGTGCAGAGTGCAAGAGGGTGAGGGGGTAGCAGGTTCAAGGAACTATCTGCACAGAAACACTGGGCGGGACACAGTCGACCGTGATATCGACCGACGTCAGAAGTCACAGCTGAACGGACGCCTGCGAGCACGATGAGGTCAACAAAAAACTGCCACACAGCAAAAACTGTCAGGCAAGAATCGATCAAGAAGAGAGGAAGTGTGTTGTAGTAAACAGCACACAGTTCATCCGCTAAAAACGAATCGAATATGTGAGCAATGCTTAGCAAATAATATTACCAAAGACACGCTGGCAGTTGAACTGTTCGCTGAGCTTGGCAATTTGGTTGCAAACGTTTCATCACCAATTGAGGTGACATCATCAGTGCGGAGTTGAGTGGCATGCAGTGGCGTAGAATAGCGTAGAGGAGCCTCACCAAGGCAACAAGGCGCCACTCAACTCCGCACTGATGATGTCACCTCAATTGGTGACGAAACGTTTGCAACCAAATTGCCAAGCTCAGCGAACAGTTCAACTGCCATCTGAACAACCTGAGCTACCAGTCTTCAATTCTATAAAGATACGCTGATCCACCCTCAACGAATAATCAGGGATGTTTAACAAGTAACCCGAAGTTTCGTTGGAACGAAGACGTTGAATGTCCGTATGCGAGAAAATATAGGATAGAAGAAGCGTGTGACAGCGAATGATGGGTGCTGCAACAAGGCACACCAAGACCGGTTGCGTACTCGTTAGAGCATGTCGCGTAGAAATGGTAATAGTTCGACTCAGAGTTGGGATGACAACCGAAGCGTCAACCCTTAAAACCACCGAGTTGAGGATAACACTCGTCACAGTGGCTGATGAAAAGCGTTGCCTGCCGTCCGGTGGCATAGAAGGCTTCGGCTAGTAGCCCAAACATTTGGGGCTCGAGCAGCAGCCCTGCTGTCTTTATCTGGCGAGTGCAAGGAAGCATCAAATTTAATCGTGCAGTAGAGTGCTGCAAGTGAGAAACACCTAGAATCTGACTGCTTCAGACACGGTCACAGTGACCGGATTGACTGAGGTTCACTTCAATGTGAATCACAGCCAAGATTGAGTGTCGCGACCGACTCAACACAACGAGTGCTTCAGAAAGTATCCTGATGGCAATATGTGAAAAACATGCGCTAACTGATGGGAAGCACGAAACAGATCAAGTGCCAAAAAGTATAGTATGAGACTGTGCACTATGAATGGAAAATGGTGCGGAGGTGGAAACCGAGATCTGCTTAAGTAGGATAGATGAATGTCGCCACGAACGGATCTGTGCTGAAGTAAGAAATACACTCTGCGAGTTACTGAAAGCATGTACCTCATGACTGCTTGACTCGAAATCCTCCTCAGCCTCCTCGTCATCTTCATCCGAATCTATCAAACTGCTGTCTCCAACAGGAGCAGCAGAAATAGACCAAGCAATCACTCCTCGATTTGCCTCGTCCAAGGAGGAGTCCATACTTTCCTTCCGATCGGAACCGGTACCACCGATACCAGAAGAACTCATTGACTGAGCGGATGATGTGTCGCTTAACTGAGACCGGCGAGCAGATGAATGGTCTTTACTGATGTCGGTGGACGGTAGTCGATCCACATGGGAACCAGATTTGACAATGGGAACCGGGGACGAGGAAGAGGGGAGAGTAATAGAAGACACAGAAGCATGAGTGGTATTTGCTGCATCTCTGAATACGGGCACCGTCGCTGTTAGATCGGGGCGGGCCTGAACGAGGTCATTGGGCACAGCCAATTCCCGTCCAGCATCAAGTGAGGACTGTGAAAAGGAGCGAATATGAAATACGAAATAACTTAAGCGATCTCCAAAGAAACAGTGCGGTCTACAAACTGTGGGTCGATCAAAGAAGGAAAAATGATGTCGCCTAGAGGCAAGTACTAGCGTTGGGAGGAAACCACGAGGTGTAATGCAGCATTCGGTTGAACTACATGGACGGAAGAGATGAACCATACAGATAACCACCAAGAATGCCGGCAAGGAAACGTAAGTCCAGGTGAGAGATAAAGTGAGGGGTGAAGGCAACGTGTGCTGCTTACTGGATGTGTGCATCCGTGTCCATACCGTCACCACAACGCACGCGCGGCAAAAACTAGTGAATTCGTAGCAATAAGGAAGTGTTGAAGTAACGTGGACAGTGACGGGAGGAGAGATTTGCTATCAGGTCTACAACGTACACACATACACACACACTGGTGGCTTAAGGAGACACACAACCAACCAGCACGTTTAAGGTAACCTTGATCCAATACCAACCAGGAATTTGAAATATCAAATGTGTAGCAAAATGTGGAAAATACGGATGCTTCGGATTAGTTTGTTATGTCAAGGTTGGGCGATGGATAGATGTTACACTACTTATAATCAGAATGCAAACTTACGAAAAAGACTGAGAGAATAAATGCAAGAAGCAGTCAAAAGAGCTGAAAGCTACGACGGAGAATATCAGTTGAAACTGACACAGTCCCATATGCCTCGAGACTGCCAATTTCTTGTTATGAAACGGGACGTAAGTAGTGCTATAGCGCCGCTTCAAGGCAAATGCGAATGGATCCCAGTAAATAAACCGCAGATTTTACGAGAGAAAAACACCAAGTTCAATGATATTCGATTGCTCATAAAGAAGACCATCAACAATAGCGTCTAACATGATGTCGACTGCAAGACTTCAGTGATGAAAAAGATAGTGTTACAGCAATTCATTGCAACTGTCTTCTAGGAAGTCAGGCGCAGTGGGGCATCAAATAACAGCTTAGAAAAATACGGTATATTACGTATAACAGATGTAAATACTGGCTTAATATAAAACTGATTAGTCCTTTATCCGTCGAGGTGAAATAAACCTTAACGACGGCAAAACGCAAAACGAGACATAGATGAATTCAAGCAAGCGTAAAATGAGATTGGTTAGTCGGAGTGGCCGCCTTCATCCAATCTTCTGTACCTTGTGGATATATGCTTGAGTTCCCGGACGACCCCGTGTTGTTCAACAATAATGGATTGCCGTATGATTGTGGCATACTGATAAATGGCCTCAAAGCTGCGAATCAGGTAAGGTAAGTGAGTAAGATGATCGGAGTTTTCCACACCCATCGCGAGGCCTAATATGACAAAGGATAGCAAATGGTTTTGAGAGTTCTAGAAGCCAAACAGCCACGACATGTGCTGCGTACGATGGACGGCCACTTTATCCGGTTGGGAAGCGCCTGCAGCACGCATCACACCTCGAACCGTGCGGGCTTCCGAGCTCGCAACCGTCCTCTTACGGAGTAGTGACTGAAGGAGCGCCATTGGGCCATGAGTGACTGGTGTGGATTGCCATGACCAAGAGATGTAACAAAGCTCGATTCATCCTACATTATCGTGCACATTGCGGATGACAGGGTCGGTTTCCAGAGTGGGCGATTTCCTATTCAAGTTCTCATTTACAGGACAGCGCTGTAAAAACTCGAGAGATACTTACTACTAATGAACTCAAATTACAGGAAACAACTGTCCGGTGTTTTTCCAAATGTGTGATGATTGTCTTGTTAAGTTCCGCGATGATGAAACCGCTCTCCCAAAAGTACGTTAAGATGGTCTGCTATCATATACCAAAGAGCAAATGTGTCAAGATGATATTGGATCACGAAACGAAAGTGTATCGGATGTTGAAATAGGGAGGATTGAAAAATGGTATACATCACACGGTAAAATCAACAAGGAGACGATAACGTAGGTGAATTGGACAGAAGGGTAAGTGGCTGACTGCTATGGGAAACGGTATCCGTGTGACTGGATAAACGCATGTCAGATCCAATCTACTACAACATTTTACGTTCATGTTAGCGCATTGTACCAAGCTTTTAGCGTGGCACATTTTCGAAATCGCGTGCAGTGCTTTCAAGTTAGCGAGTTTTCCTTCAGATAGGCATCAAAATAGAACAGAAGGTGGTGCTCGACCAATTTCATTGGCCAGTCTGTCACTTAAGCTGTGGGCTTCCAACAGGTGTCCCATTTGGTAAAGTCCCATGACCAATGAAAGTGTCAAAGACGCCAAAACAGCGTTCGTAGCTTCGGTAACTTGAAAGCACTGCACGCGATTTCGAAAATTTGCCACGTTAAAAGCTTAGTACAATGCGCTAACATGCGTGCAAAATGGTATAGTAGGATTGATGGAGGCTTCTAGGGTACCGTATAGGACGACATAGATGCTTTGCGTACTAAAAGCTCATAAGTGATATGTAGGTTGAACCATTAGCAGCAGCGGCGACTGAACAAGCCGACAATGGGCGATGACGATTGTTTCGCGTTAAATCCCTACCAAGTATCGGCAAGGCAGAGAGAGTGGACAAAGTCGCACAGACCGGGGATGCTGATACCTTCGCTGGCCGAATAGGTGTCAGGTGACGTCGGGAGGAAACTTACATCAAATTGAATTTCATCACGAATATAAGCGGCACGGCTGTGCATAGTAATTGGCCAAATGAATTAGCCGCCAACTACAGATAGTGAAGCATACACAAACAAAGCAGAAAAAATAAAGTGACCTAATTTCACTTAAACAAAATTGAGCTAAGTTTACCGACAAGAATCGCTGATCCTCATAGCAAGAGCCATTAAAGAAAAAGTAAAAACGTTGATTAACGCGGATGATTGCTTGTTAGGTGGTTTGGAGAACAAAGTGTTAAAGGAAACACGCAGTGATTAAAGGAAGGAAAGCGATGGTGCTTACTCGTCGCTTGTGGCACACAACTGCTGGACGATGGATGCCAGAAAGTCCCGGGGCCGGTTTGTTTGGATAATCGATCTAAGAGACAGAATAGAAAAGCGGAACATAAGGCTCAGCGCAACAGACGAACATTGTAATGGTGAAGACGGAGTCAGCAGTAATAGCCATTTGCGAGTCTCGATGGGGAGAATCAGTGGGCAGCATTGAGGTCGGATGTCGGAGTGGTAAGCAATGAGCAAAAATTGTTCTTCAGGGATTTGTGGAAAGAAACGATTTTCCACTAGCTCACAGGCCAGTTAACAGGTGTACATGAAAAAATTGAAAATTGGATCGGAGGATGTCCCACGACTGCAACATACCTAGTCCAAGACCGGAATAGTTTTCGGCAAAGTATTGACTCCCGCACCCCAAAAACTTTAAAATGATCAGGTCAGCATATGAGGACTGTCTCGCTATTTCGAAAAACATTATTATTATTAACGTTGTGTGCGATTTAGGAGAACTGACAGCACGCTTGAGAGTCACTTTAGATCGATAACATCGCTCAGGTTGATTTCTCGATGAACGATTGAAAAAGCACTCGAAAATCCTGCTCCTACAGAGAAATGTGCTGAATCGCTGACCATAAATGGGGGAAGTAGATGTGATATGATGCGTGAGTGCTTGGATGAAATGTCAAGAGTATAACGGAGTTAGAGTAGAGCACAATACTTATCGAAGATGGCAAATCCACAGGACACTCCCAACAAAAGTGGTCACACAATACTCTTCCTATCGGGTGACAATGAGTGGGACAAAATTCTGATACAAACGATACTGATTGCACAGTGGAGTGTAAACGCGCATACACAATGCAATATGGTGATCAGATGGAGCAGGTGAGGCATCCAAACATCGCGAGAGATAACAGTAGTACGACCGAAACTGGCGCCGATGTTTCGCCGCAATGTGACCACTACCGCAGATCGCGTGCGAGGTCCTCAGCATCTATACAGGCTTGAACCGGTGTTCCCTGGGGATTACAAAGCAAAGGACTGAATCACATTCCACCACAGTCCTGCACCCATTGTAGAAATCCAGGGTGAGAAGTAATTCGAAACATAGAGTATGACTGTAGCTCAAAATGAAGGGATCAGGAATACTAAAATCAAGAAAAGAAAAGGACCAGATGATACCTACCGCCTCAGTGTTGTGGTACAATCGGCATGCATATCGAATGATGAGCGGCGGATTCATCACGTCAAATATCGTCGGATAGTCAGACTCAAAGCACCCATTAACGGCTCAATGTCAAACAGATTATACTGATTGCTAAGGATTGTTGTTTGTGCACCATTCGCTTGGGACCAATTAACGGACCAGAATGTGGACTGAGCTTTGGAAGAAGTAAAAGCGGCAGACCCAGAGGACAGCGACAGTGTCTGGAATGACGGAAATAGTGTGGGATTCACCGTTTTTGAGTGACTCCTTGCAAACTCCAATCAAGGCTTTGAAACTGCTCATCCGAATGCCGACTGTGCACGCTGACCCAGAACACGACCAAACATTATTTGTTTTTAGCGTGATAGTGAATACAGTCAAACGACTGTGATTCAAGCACCGAGATGCAGTGGATCCAATTGCCAAGGGTCACAGCGTCCCAAGGACGGAAATTTCTCAGACGTCCAGTGATTCCGTGAGAAGAGAGTCCAGGCGCAGACGTGAGGCTAAGGTAGCGCGATGGTTGGGCTTACTTCATGTCGGGTCAATTGACACTGGTCGGAGTAGGGAAGCAAAGCACAGTGGTGGCTCTCCCGACAATTCGTCCAGTCAGGTGAGGAAAATGAGGCGGGCCAATGAGTCTGGATTCATCGCGTTTCACCGGGCAAAGCAAGGAGACAGATCTAGTAGCAGAACACTTACAAGTTCAGTACTGTAATATGGGATAACTGAGTTAGAAGTGAAGTAGTTTCCAACCCACAATAGTTTCATCTTCGAAAGAATAAGTGGAAACTTTTGGGTCACGTTATCAATTGGGTGCAGGAATTGAAAGGTTCAAGGTGCAGACAATCTGGGGTAGCCTCGGATCTATGCGCACCAGGGCTGCAGTGGGATACGTGTGCCTATGGAAAACAAAAGACCTACAAACTTCGATAATATGAATGATTAAGAACTTTGAGCGCGTAGTAGGATGAATGAACCGCAGGACAGTAAGCCATCAGAATCACATTTGGAAGACGCCACATGTGCTAAACATCGCAGATCTGGAGAAGTAAAGAGTGTGCCTCACACACCGTCTTCAAACACTGGTTCACATAGTGTAACAGTCCTGCTGATTAAACGTTCGCCGGACAGAGTGCTCTTGGTGTACGTGATGGCTAAGTGGAGTAACACATCGGTGCGGGGTACCGGTAAACCCAAATGTGTGAGCACACGAATGGCCATGAAAAGCCACTTAAGGGGCCAGCGAGCGCGAATCAGAGTAGACGTAGGCGCCCACTCAGTGATGAACCGAGTATATATTTATCTACTAGTGTTGTGAGGACAAACGTGCGCCTACATGACTAGGCAGAGAAAGGAGTTGTTTGATTCGTGTGGATCATTCCTACACATGCACGGCCCGGGATATGCGGCACAACTTCCCCGTGAATACGCATTTGAACCATAACCGGTATAGCGACCTGAGAAAGTGCCACTACTGCGGCACTCAATTCGGATGCCGGTAGGCGAAGAATTTCTGCTCACGTTTGTGCTGTTCTAAGTTCGACATGTAGCTCGATAGGTGGGCACTGCTGTCGGGTCAAAAATTAGTACGCTTCAAGTGCAGAGGTTTCCTGGTCCCGTGGTTTGTGAAAACAAAATGCTGATACTCTGGGTGAACGGCACAGAGGGGCAGTTCAGAAAATGTTCGTCATCGAGGTTTTATCGGAACAAAGTTGAACAACGAGAAGACAGCTGGACAACTCGAATGTGATGCAAGCGCTGCAGAGCTGGGTCAAGCTGTTATTTCGGGAAACAACCGCTAGATGAACGGATTTTTCAAAAATCGAAAAGTGGATTTAAGTGTGCAAAAAATCCCGCCCCAACCGGACCAACAAATGAAGAAAGGTGCCAGGAGTACGTCGTACCGACGCTTGCTTATCACGTGACCACCACCATTAGGGCGAGGATTAGGGATACGATGAGGATGCAGATCACACAGACGCTTCATATCAACTGACCACCGAGTGAGATAATTGAGGAGATATGCAGGGTTTTTGATGTTTAATAGCATAAATCACGGACAATAAATCGGTAGCCATGGTATAAAGTGAAGAGCTGATTATGACGCAGGGAAATAAAAGTTTCGAGTAAGTTGGCTAGCCGATGCCGCTTTATCTCCTTATTACATATAGCTGCTTGCGATGGTATCCATTTGGTAAGAGGTAAGCGCCTTGGCTTCGGATGTTTGATCAGGGTAATTAGATTACATAACAGATCCCTGTTCTCTGTTCACAAGGTTCCACTTTAGCAAGATCATCGTGTTGGTCGCATGACAACGAGGCATCGGCATCACTAACGATGATACTAAAGGGGCAAAGACTAGTCATGTGCAAGGTCTATTCCAGTCGCATAAGTGCTCCTAACTGGTGCCCACCCGTCGAGGTCATGCGGAGTGACGTGTGTATAAAATACGTAGCGGATAGATGTGAACCGAACCAACCGAGATATTGAAAATTGCCTAAAAGGGAATCAACAAGGGTGTTAGGTAACCGCATTTCCGTATTCTATGGTCTGGTCCGTATTGCAAATGAGATATAATCCAGAGCGGAAAGCAAGTAAAGTGTCGGGTTTGTAACTCATGGACACTATAACCTCAGCGAAATTTTACAACTCCTACTGCGTGTAGAGGGAGAGAAGTGTGCCAGCAAAAATGAATAAACATGATGAATGGAACTAGTGTCTGGAACCACCACTGTGGTCGAATACACAGAAACTTATGCGATGAACTGTACTCCCTCGGTTGTCATTAGACAACACTACCGAAAGCTGTGTAGCATTCAGTTGGAGCGTCTCCTAGATGGATAATAGGACAAATTATGCGCGCTAAATCACACACAGTATTCTGCTAATGAAGCGAAGAAGAACCAGAATCGTCGTGATGCAGAAAGGTTGGAAAAAGTCCAGCAAAACGCAGGCGATATGGTAGGTTCGATGGATCAGATGATACGGACAGAGCCTGCGTAAACTATATCAGACGATAGGTACGAATGAAGTAAGCCAGTGTTGACATGGAAGGGGAAAACGGAAGAAACAGGCATATATAAGACGATAATAACGCAGAAGTAGACAGGACAAACACTGCAGCGTGAACCGGAAACCGAGTGCTGCAAGCGTGAGTCACACTGGCTGAGCTGCATCGACCGAAGTTTCCAAATCGCTGTGAAGATGAGTAGTCAAGGCAGCACAGTGGTACAACAGTGATACTTTGGAGATTTCAGACTGAAATTGTGAACGCTATACTGTTCGTCCGAATCAAAAAAAGCTAGAAAGCTTTCCGGAACTGTAAAGTGGATGAAACCGTGAATTCCACTCAGATTCTTCTCGTTATTGGCCGACCAGCTCGTGGTTACGTGTGACCACTTACGCTCCCTATAGTAGTGCGTAAACCATGGGGGATGCAGTGGATATGAAGCAAATAACGTGACAGTTGAACGTATGCTACAAGAAAAACCGCGACCACCCAAATGGCGACCATATGACCAATAGACATAGAGAAAAACAAAACCATAGAAATCATTAGGAAAAATAAAGGTTTACTCACCACATCATGGCGCATTAGCTGAAGGTGGACAAGACACTTGAACTCCTGGGCCACAAAAAGAACAGAATTTTCTAGTTTGTCATTTTTACACGCCATTTTGCCATTTTCAATTATACATTAGGTAGCTGGATCTAAACTAGTATATACACAGATCTTCCACTGGTTTCGACTATGAGCCATATCCTGCATTGTTTCTAGCCATCATTAAGCCTCGTGCTATGGTCCCCAACCAGGCAAACGTGTGGATCCACCGGGCAGCAAGACGTGAAGTCAACGATTTCATATGCTGCGCGGCTGACCGTCGCGCGGTCTCTTCCTGCCACGTTCTGCACGAGAGAAAAGAGCGCAATGGCGCAAGCGCTCAGCTGACAAACGCAGAACCTGACTGAGCCATCTTAACTGACGCAACAAAACCACCTTGTTGAAGAGAATACTCGCATCCCCTAAGACACGACATCGGACTTTACTGTTGCAAATACTTTCCGGCCACCACACAGGAGCAATCCTCCTAATGCGCCCATTGTCAACAACTGAGAGCAGGCGCATGTCAACTGCGCGAAATGGCCACGTCTCGCTTCCATATAGCAACACCGTCCGAACGGTGGCACGGTCAAGGCGATCCTTTATCAAGTGGGAGATATTCTGACGACGCCACAGGTGCTTCGGGCTGACGAATGCTGACCGAGCTTTGGTGATACGGAGGGAAAGTTCCTTCTCCATAGTGCCACCAGCAGACACGCAGCTGCCTAGGTAGACAAAGTTATCTACTTGTTCAAGCTGTGTACGTTTAATAGTGGGCACGGGAACGCGCGAGTTCCAATGCTGAAGCAGCACTTTACACTGATGGGATAAAGCACATTCCGTACCTAGATGCCTCAATCGCTAAAATATTCAGGATGGTTTACATCCTCTGTGTGTCGTCGCCAAGTAAGGCGGTCATTGGCGTAATGTAAGTCGGTCGCTCGCTTGGTCGGCTATAGTTGCAGACTTAATTGTTTACAACCTTCCAGAGCTCTCGGCAGGATATCTTCAATCGCAAAATTGAGGAGTAAAAGGGACATAGGGCAGCCCTGTTGTAAACCACTATAGACAGCGAATGACGACGAAAGCTTGCCGCAGATCCTCACTGTGTCGGAAATATGGAGGCAGAGTGCGTGTAGGATGGCAGTGTACTTTTCTGGGACCCCGTTCCTTAGCAAGCAACGCCACAGCGCAGGTCGATCAACCGAATCGAAGGCAGCACGGATGTTTAAGAATGCAACGATGGTAGGCTTTTGGTAGATGTGGCGGTGTTCCAGGATTTGACGGAGCGTAAGTATTTGATCCACGCGCCTACAGCCAGGAAGGAAACCAACTTGTTCTTACCGGTATTGCGATCCACCAAAGATGGGAAGTCTGCGGAGTAGAATGGATGCTAATAGCTTGGAAGCAACCGAAATGAGACTAATCCCCCGCTGAATGGTGCACGAATTGCGAGCGCCTTTCTTAAAAATCGGGATAACAATTGATTCGCCCCAGGAAGAAGGCATCTTTTCTCCAATCCAGATTTTTGAGAACAATGAGGTTAAATGGCTGATGATAAATGCGCCTCCATACTTGGACAGCTCCAGGGGAAGTCCGTCTGAGTTGGCAGCCTTAATTCGTCTCAGGTGTCGAATCGCAAGACAAACTTCGCTTCATAGTGCGAATCAAGTGTGATGAGCCAAAGCGAGTGGCTTGGTTTGAAGAGAATAAAAGTGGACGGTGAAGGACAATTGAAATGGGACTGAAAATGTTCGGTCTATCGATCCAAGCGTCTTTGTAGGTTGGCAATCAGTGAACCATTCGCTTCGCAATTAGTCGCACTGACGCCAGGATTTTTGTGCTCAGTGTACCGGTTGAGCTGGAAGAGCTTGCGAGTATTGTCAGACAGGGCAGCGGCTTCCATTTCCGAAACACGCTGAGACCACCAGACTTCACTATCACTGCGTAGGCTTTGTTCGAGCTGCTGACTGACAGAACGGAGCAGTTCATTACGATCAGACTCCGCTTGGATATTCTTGCGGGGATACAATAGATCAAAGGGGCGAGTGGAGATCCAGGCCCTCGTAGGGTGATGAGTAAGACCACAGACTGTCTGGAAGAGGTCATGGCGCTCTGCATGAACTCCAGTGTTCGTCAATGTCTAGAGCTTGTCTCATAATCTTGCGGCGCGGATCCGAGCCTGCGTTGGGGTAGGGAGACTCTTGCAGTATCCTTGGCCCACGTGCGACCGGTGGTGGTTGCGCGGCAGCGAAGCGTTGGTACTGCGTACCGGCGTATTGCTGATGCCCTTTTTGCGGAGGGTCACAGTTGAACGCATCGGACAGGGAAGCTTGATAGCACTGCTGAACGGATAGAGTAGATAGTTTATTTGTGTCCACTTTACTGTTATGGTTTTAGGGACCCCCCGAAACGCTTGCAGATATTCGCAGAAACAAGAGCATGGTCGGAGTCAAGAAATGTGGACCAGATTGACTTATAATCTGTTACACAAGCACGCCATCTTAAATTGATTGCGATACGATCAATCTGATACCAAGATCGGGACGTAGAAGGGGGTATCTAAGTAACGGAACGTCTCCTCGAATGCCAAAAGCTGGTGCACGACAGAAATAAACGATTCTCTTCGCACAATGTGAGAATTCTCTCCCCATTATCCGAGCGGCTCTCATCGAGCGCATGGTGACCATCAAGATGACTTTCGCATGACAATAGACGACCGACCCGTGCGTTGAGATTCCCAGCAAGGACAAGAATATCGGGTTTGCAAGCTTTGCCCAAGGGCTGATAAAGTTCACGGTAGAAATCGTCCTTGACCCAGTCGGGAATGCAGTCAGTCGGAGCGTAAGCCGAGACTACAAAAAAGCTACGTATCTCCTCACGGTATCCGTTGATACTGCATGATCCCAGAAGCCGAACTGCACACCTTCGGCTATTAATCGGAAACCAGTCCAGCAGCGCGGCTTCGACTTGGCTGCTTAGCGCTACACTAACGCCAGCCAAATCTGCCGCAGCTGCCTCTGTGCCACCAGAGAGACTTAAGTGAAACATGGCTCCGCGGTCGGTGGGAGACCGCAACTCAAACACGGTGCCGGAATCTTGCAAACGTGTTTGGGAAAGACAGCAAAGGTTGATGGCAAGGGATTCCAAGGTGCGCGCAAGACCAGCCTGCTGCCCGCTCTGCACGAGTGTACGTACATTGAAGCATGCAGCACGGAAGGAGGACTGAGGCCGAAGGAGAGCCACTGGACGAATTCTGTTGGTGTCGACGAAACCATAGGGAGTGGAATCATGGAAACAAGAATCAGCTGGTAACGGATAACAGTGATTGGTAACAAGTGAACGGGTGGCGTGTGAATAATGTGTGTAAGTAGTAGAAGTTAAGGCAGCTGAGCGCGAAGTAGCAGACGAACAGTCCACTGTAAGCCAACAGGTAAATAAAAAACAATAACACAAACTCACAACGATCAAATCGGATGGCTCCAGAACCAGACAATCAAAGCGGCGAAACATTGCCCCATTGATACGAGTGCCGAAGCTGGTGAGATGAGATGAAGAAAGGTGGGTATTTCAGTCGAGATAGTGGATGGCTTGTTGGGTTTCCGTGCACATGTAAGCGTCCACAAAGCTATGCGTTACGTCACCACAAAGATGCATTACTGATGAATGGGTCAGACAGACAGATGTGGTTGTAAAGCATGGGGAAACATTCAGTAGCAAATTGAATGAGAAAAAGTATTAAACTCTAGCGAGAATTGCCAGTGGGACACTAAATGAAGATCAGTCGAAATCGGTGGTCATGTAGTCCGCGCAAAAATTGACAGTGAGAAGAAGGAAGACGAGAAACGAGTGAAGTAAAAAGGGGCGAGGAATGACCCCATTGGTGGTATCATCAACATAATTCAACATGTTGGCTAAAGGGGACAAGCACCTAAGCTATTGTGCCGTAACCCAACTCAGGCAGATGATTGTACGATGCACGGAGAAGAGATACAATGCAGTTAGTTGCTCCCAAATCGAATGTCAACCGACTGTCTACGGTCAAACGCAAACCAGACTAAAACTGGGCTGGGCGCTACTGGGTCCAACGGTCTAGTTCCCTAATCAGTTCACTTCGATGGTTTCGAGCATATACAACGTAGTCGCCAGCTTCATTCAGAGCACATCCCATAAGAGTTAGCTGTATTGGAATCACTGGCGGTTGAGTGCTGCACCCTACTGCTGGTTAAAGGGACTGAGGCTGATAAGAAGAGATGTATCCAGAGTTGGGGGGACTCGAGTAAAGGACACCCGTATTTCGATAGGATAAGCTAAATTTGTAGGTGATGAACAAGGAGCTGATGCATAACCGTTTATTATTTATCAGCCTACTACTATAACTTATCGAGTTGCGTGAGCTGACATTCTTAACGCGACAGGAAGCACCAAGCAGTGGGGGTGTTGTGCAAAACCAGATCGGTGCGCTGGAGAGCTTCCGAAATAGTGATAGTAGTGGAACGAAAACAACATCAATGAAGAGAACCAAACGGACGAGACCGAGTCAAAAATAACCATATCATGATGCAATGGAGCCAGGTCAGAAAATTAAAATTGAAATTGAAAACAGGATGCTGTGTTGAAAATAGGCAAGTAGGTGAGCAATTGAAAAGGTCACTGATTTAATAAATGATGACTACGTGGCTCCTGATTGATAGCCGTGTAGATGGAAGTTTCGTTTTTTTATTTGCCATTTCCAGGGAATAGCTTCGCGCATCCTGTGAAAATATACAGTATAGTTAACTTGTCGAACCAGTGAGGTCGCGGTATAACGTGAGGGCAACGGCTACAAAGTAGATGCGCCCGCACAACTGGTCTAGACAGTGGAAGGGTTAAGCCGATCAAACGGAATACAATTGATATATGTGGTCTGAGGAGAGCTATCACCAAAATAAATTTTTAAGGAAGGATGAAGTAGCCATCTTCGTCCAATTATTGTAAATTCTCTAAAGCATTGAGAAATAAAGGACTAATTGAAAAGCCTATTTTAATGTGGGTCAACGGTCATTACGGCTAATCAGGTAATGGATGAGAATATCATGATATTGGAAACTCAAAAACACCGGTCTGAAACTCCAATATGCAGGTAGTCAAGATGAAAGTCACCCCTCACGACTCACCAAGCCCGGGGTAGGAACATTGATGAATCGATCAAGACGGACCCACTGAGCAAGATGAACCAAGAATCGCACACATCCCCAGCTTGATAAAGCATCACATCACCAGGGACTCGGCGGTACCGTGCGTGCTGACAGATGGCACGTAACTCCGAGTCACGATGAGCGGAGGATGGACCGGGGACAGCGAGGCCCTCGATGTTGCGCAGGTAATTGTGCAAATAGGCGAAGTCCTGAAACGGAGCGAGATGAGGATGAAGGATTCCCTTAAGATACTAGACGGCTGGGAACAGCTGTCAAACTAAGATCAGTTAAGACTACGAAAAAATTCAGAAATAAGATTGATAATAAACACTAGAAAATGATCTACTATGCAGATCGCAATTTTCAAGGTGAAGGAAGAGAACGTGGGACAGACCCGTTTGAGTGCTCAACGAAAACCCAGGGATGAAGTCTGGTAAAAGTTTAGGGTCAAGATGGTTTGTCGCCTCTAAATGCTCCGACAACTCGTTTATACACAATGAAGAGTGATTTCAAGAACCGGTAAGCGGAAAACAGAAAATCGAATTCAGCGATCGACTGCTATAGAATCTTTTGATTCGAAGCACAATTTATTTAGCAGCAGGCAGTCACTGAGAGAACAGGGAAGGTATCGATTTCGTTCAGAACCATGGGTCTCCGTACCATGGCGCTGTGTCGCCGTTGGGAAAACGGATTGTAAAGACTAGTTTACCTGATGACATTCGCATGAAACCCTCGCTACCGCGAGCGAGAACCCGTGCGGAATCACTTGGAGCCAGGCTTACAGGGTGTATGGAACAAAAATTAAATCACAGTGCAGAGTTCCCTATAGGATACGATACAGAAGATACTGCAGAGAAGAGGATAACAAATTTAATAGGAATATAGAATACTACATTTGATAAATGTCTACGCTGAAAAAAATATTACTGCAAGATTTAGTACCTAAATAGGGCTGCAGATTAACTCGAATGAGTAGCCAAACGAGCAAGTGCAAACGTTTCATCCGATCATCAGTATCCTTAACAATGAGCTGTACCGGTGCATCTATATCATACAACAACGAATGGTGAGGTGAAACTACTGGTAAGGAACCGAAAATGTGTGAAGTACCTACCGTAGAATGTAGATGCAATACGCAAATGTTCAATATCAAGGCGCAACACCTCACTAACCCCGAACGGGACGGAGGCCTCGCCGCCTTACGATGCCGCACAACATAGTCAACCTGAGCCCATAAATAATCCGGTAAAAAATATTCTTTAGACAGAATATTTGGCTAGCAGATTATCCCAAAAAGGTCACAAGGTGTCTATCAAGTTCCATTATGTCTCCGGTAGAGCGTAGAGCGGGTAGCCTGCATCTCAGTCCAGGAGGTCGAGCAGTAACCAGTCCAGCGGTCGGTGACCATATTTCTCGCTACCAAGTCGAGGAATACCTAAGCGGAACCCCATGCTATCCAACAGCCGGTAAACAAGCAGATCACCCTTCAGTAACCGATGTGTGAGCATGCGCAATGTACGTGCGGGCAAGCGCAGCTTATTTAGTACTCGTTGTTGGTTCAACAAACAAACTGGAGCATCGCCACCTAATAATTGTATGAGCTCATCACCAGCGCGAAGATGCTGGTGTCATATGACAAGAGTAACGTTTCGTAAGCGAGTAGAGCCAAAAACCGGAGGCGATTAGATCATAAGGGAGCTAGGTAGCCTTGCGGTGGAGGAGAGTTTAAGCCATTGTGGTCTTACATATACGAACATCTGAAGCCAAATGTCCACTTCTGGCAGTGTGTGGCGAACTCATAAAGACAGTTATGGCATCGTAGTAAGCGAACTAATTTCAGAAATCACAGGCTTATCATTACTAATGCAGATTCCATCCGTTTTTTGTTGTTTAAAGATGAGCAAGACTTTGATCACCTGATAGTGGTTTGCACTTCGAAGGTGAAAGCACAGGCTAAAGGATAAGATAATCTGTGTGCGGGTATACCCCGGGCGACGTTCGTGTTGTCCAAACGTGTGAATCCAGACTACATGCAGACACGGATACAGTGTAGAAAAAATTCAATGATACTGCAGTCGACGGTTTTCGTGTAGGAAGTCAAAAATGTAAGGTGTTAGTAAGAGCGTAAAAAAGGAGTGCGGGAGCACCAGTGCCAGCTTGTACTCCTGGTCGCATACAGCAGATAAGGTGGTACTTCGGCCAATAAAGGACGTAAACGCTCGATGAAATGTTCGTGGTTTTAAGTGAGATGGGATGCTATCAGGGAGTCCCAATAGTGATCAAAAGTTTGGTCACAAACAGAATAAGAGCAAAATAGTTTTCATACAAATGGATTCCCCTAGTTCAAATAAATAAATCGGATGTCAAAGAGACGTAGCTTATCTGATCGTTAAAAACTGACCAAAAACCTGGGAGTTATTTTGGGAGCGCCCGAAAATGTCGGGCGTTACAGCTGAATAGCTCGGCGGATATGCAAATCAGTTTTAAGATGACGGACCACCGTGTTTCGTGGTTGCTAATCAAAGGGAAGACTTCATGAAGCCATAGGATCAAAATGAAGCATGAAACAACATAAAGGCATGACGGCGGTTTATCAACAACTCACCGCCGCTGTCCTGTAATGTGATGGTATCGACAACAATCGTATCGCCGTAGCATCCTCTTCGTCCATGAGTTATCGGCTAAAAAATGTGAAGCTATAGTTGTCATAAATAAAGATACAAAGATCATAAATTGAAACAGCTTGCATACAAAAAGCAAACGCTGTTAGAGTGGAAAAGACGAGTGTTAACGTCGAGACGTAGACTAGGGTTTGAACAGTGTAGCCAACTGAGCCACTGGAGAGGTGCCACATACGGTTCAATGTCAAGTACAGGAGGCCACACTGCCCTGATACGATAGGTAAAACGAGATAACTGCCTAAGACTGCTGTTACCATCAAATGAAAACCGGTTACAGATGAAATACGACATCGACTGATGAAGTGTCGTTCTACTATGAACGATTGAGATTGTAGTCGTTGTCGATGGGAAACAAATCGGTAGCGTCAATACGATCCCAGTGATTTATTTCATCGATAGTCACTTCAAAGTGAACCGCCGCCTGAATTGGGACTGTGTGTTGCAAAGTATTCACACAAATGCTGCAACACTCTCTAATTAAAAATGTATTTTATCTTCGTGTCCAATGAGATCTGATGTGGAAGTGTATGTTGTTATCGTCACAAAAAAGCCACGAGGCTACTGGGGTCGTTGTATTCCCTCCCATGTGTATACTTCGTCATTCCTGCTGAACTACCAGCATTTACCATAATCTCATACTCGATGCATAATACAATACTAAACATTATATTGCTTGTTTTTGTTTTTATTTTGCATTCCGCAATGTTCAAAAGAACGCTTTTAAATATATCTAAACTTTGTATTGCGACACAATAGCTAAGGTGTTACCCATCTTTAGCTATTGAGTAATGGTGATGATGGATTAGCGACAGGAGGAAGTGTTACTCAATGCAATGAAATGGAATTTTGGCAAGAGGTGATGGATCAAGCACACTCGTGATTCATTAATAGGCGACAGGCGACGTTTTCAAGCTAATCCAGAGCTACAAGGTTGACAAATGTTTATGGTTAAGATAGATATGACATCAACATAGCCTTCATGAGTAGTCGAAGAGGAATCGACGTCCCACTTACCCATGTCTCAGTAATGAAGCACAATGTTTACGCAGTGCACCCTCGATTCGATCGGCGTACACCACAGATACCAAAAGTTACATCTCATAGTGATACTGTCAACCTTCACTGCATCTTTAGGCGAAGTCGGGTACACAACTTACAGTATACATGACGTTTGAACATCGTTCAGCGCAGGTACAGGAGACCTTCGACTAAGTATATTCAAAGCAAACAGACAATTACGTTCAGCTAGATGGCGCTGCTCAATCAGAATCAGTAGGTAGAGTCTCAAGACCCGAACCAGTTGTTTCAGAGTCCAAGTTGTTGATCTTAATTCAGTGACCGTTAAAGATTATCTCTATTGGAACCTACTCTCCACATCCACTAGGTAAATATACGGACATGAACACCGCCGGTGATATGAATGGTCGGGTAGACCACCATCCGAAAGCAAATTAAGTGGTTAGCTCCTAGAATGTGTTTGCCCGCAGATCATAGCACCATTTTTCTTCGACTGTACGCCGGCTAACATGTTCAAGCGAACAGCATAGATTCCTCATAAGAGTTCATATCAAAGCGAGGAGACTAAACCTTAACGCAGTGCCAAGGTGTGTGGAACCCTTTGACGCATTAAGCTACATTGGTTAATGCCCTCAGGCCTCTTGAGAGTTACGCCCCCACATTGGTCAGTGGTTAAAGATAGAAAAAGAAAGGCAACAGTAGTAAGCCGGTACGCAGAACCGACGCTACGCTGCCGCGCAACCCCACCGGTCGCACGTATGCTAAGGATACTGCGGGGGGACCCAGTAAAGTACAATGCCATCGTACACGCACTCTGCCTCCATATCTCCGACACAATGAGGATCTACGGCAAGCTTTCGTCGTCATTCGCTGTCTATAGCAGTGTACAACAGGGCTACCCTATGTCCCTTTTACTCTTCAATTTTGCGATTGAAGATATCCTGCCGAGAGCTCTGGAAGGTTGTAAACAATTAAGTCTGCAACTATAGCCGGGCAAGCGAGCGACTGACTTAGATTACTCCAATGACATCGCCTTACTTGGCGACGACACACAGAGGATGTAAAACATCCCGAATATTTTAGCGATTGAGGCATCTAGGTACGGAATGTGCTTTGTCCCATCAGTGTAAAGTGCTGCTTCAGCATTGGAACTCGCGTGTTCCCGTGCCCACTATTAAACGTACACAGCTTGAACAAGTAGATAACTTTGTCTACCTAGGCAGCTGCGTGTCTGCTGGTGGCACTATGGAGAAGGAATTTTCCCTCCGTATCGCCAAAGCTCGGTCAGCATTCGTCAGCCCGAAGCACTTGCGGCGTCGTCAGGATGTCTCTCACTTGATAAAGGATCGCCTTGACAGTGCCACCGTTCGGACGGTGTTGCTATATGGAAGCGAGACGTGGCCATTTCGCGCAGTTGACATGCGCCTGCTCTCAGTTGTTGACAATGGGCGCATTAGGAGGATTGCTCCTATGTGGTGGCCGGAAAGTATTTGCAACAGTAAAGTCCGACGTCGTGTCTTAGGGGATGCGAGTATTCTCTTCAACAAGCTGGTTTTGTTGCGTCAGTTAAGATGACTCAGTCACATTCTGCGTTTGTCAGCTGAGCGCTTGTGCCCCTGCGCCCTTTTCTCTCGTGCAGAACGTGGCAGGAAGAGACCGCGTGACGGTCAGCCGTCCACTTACGGGCAGCATACGAAATCGTTGATTTCACATCTTGCTGCCGTTGAATCCACACGTTTGCCTGGTTGGGGACCACAGCACGAGGCTTAATGATGGATAGAAACAATGCAGGATATGGCGCATAGTCGAAACCAGTGGAAGTTTAGATCCAGCTACCTAATGTATGATTGAAAATGAAAAAATGGCGTGTGAAAAATGACAAAATAGAAAATTCTGTTCTTCTTGTGGCACAGGAGCCCAAGTGTGTTGCCCCCCTTCAGTTAATGTGCCAGGTTGTTGATGTGACGATTAAACCTGTGATTTCTATACTTTTTGTATGGCTCCATGTCCATTCGTTAGACGGTTGCTGATGATACTAGTGCCACTATCCTGCGAGGGTTGCACCGTTCTCTACGCAGGCTCGAACCCGCGCCCTCAGATCACAAGGCAGGCCTGTGATCCTTAAGGCTGTGGGCCGGTAGGGGGTCAGAGATCAGACGAACTCAAGCGCTTAGTTTTCTAGTTTGGGTGCGGAAAATGTAATGGCATACATTTATGTGGGAGCGCATCTTTGTTATCTTTCCAGTGTCGCGATCCGGCAATCGAGCCAAAGGTTTCAATTGAGGACCACAGAAACTCCCGTCTGCACATAGGCGATCATATAGTATCCTAGCTCACGTACAACAATGACTATTAATTCAAACATCGGTCCGTAGCCTAGTGGTAACGAGCTTGTCTCGTAATCTTGCGGCGCGGGTACGAATCCGCGTAGGAGTGTGTGTGTCCTCGCGGTATACTCAGCCCGCGTACGACCGGTGGTGGTCGCACGGCAGAGAAACGCCGTTACAGTGTACGGCTGATACACTATTATTATTATTAGCATTATTTTTATATCAAACTTCAAGTGCGTCCTGTATATACAATCGTATAGCTATAAAATAGTTATGTCTCCTACATACAACAGCGCATACGTATGTTGACGTTTATTACGGTTTCTAATATCCAAAGTACAGGTAAACAAGACGCGAGAAACGCTCATGAAATGCTGGGAAATACAACCAAATATATTGAAAAGCGACATATTAAACAATTTCGCAAAAAAGTAGCATAATGCCAAGTATCACATTATGCATAGAGCGTGAGACTGGTTAGAGAAGGAAGTTAATCCGGAAGATAAAGACAAAATACCAACACAGATGCCACTGAGGTTGGCCCCTACCGATATTAACAAGTTTATCCAACTAAACACCTTCACAGCCTTTCAGATCCCAATCTGATAATCGAGGCTCCAAGGCAAAGTCTGAAGTGAGAGCCTTCGTTTTTCTTGATCAAGTTATCGGTTGACCTTCCTCTTCTTCCAGCCATACTACAGTAGCGCAAGCATCGCACTTCGAGGGAGTCGGTGTGCCTTCATGCACAACACGTGACAGCCGTCGGAGCCGGGGGTGTGATACAACAGTACTCTTCCCACACCAAGCACGAGAAACCGAACACCCTCATTGCTCATACGGTAATGGCGCAAATGTGAAGGCAACGATGGTCGAAGTTAACTAGCCTCTTCATATCTATCAATCTGATGAACTAGGTTTCACAACCGTACGGGAGGGTTAAGCGCACGGCTGCGTTGTAAGATCAGCCATTCAGGATAAGCATGATGTCGCGCCGGCACCACAGGTGGCGGAGATTAGCAAAAACACTAGCTATTGCTGCACGATTCGTAATCCCATCTTCTACTCCACAATCGTCAGGGTGCTTGAATTTCTGGACGACTTCTAGCTGACCACCGCTAAGGGTCATCGCAAGGGTAGGTCACTGCCAATCTTGGACGAAAGCTTTGCATCTGGAGGGTGCAAAGCAAGACCCGCAATGATTGGCAGCCGGTGCTGTTTGGCATTTGCGTGAGCTGTCACAGATGAGGGCAATGTTTTCGACACAGTCCAAGTCACCTGGAGGCAAATTCACACGTCCAGTCCTATGGACGTAATTTTCAGTATTGCGCTGATTACCAAGTTGCAGAGGAAAGGTGACATTGGGAAACCTTGTTTCACATTGCTAGTGATATTGAAGGGCGGCGGCAGTCTACTATAGGCCCTCACTGCCCGAACTACGTGCGCAATGCATTCTTATAACACTCCCCTGTTTATCGGGCACATTTGACCTGAGAAGATAGTTCCAAAGGGCAAACCGAGCGACCGAATCGAAGTCATCTTTGATGTGGACGAGCAAAATCACGGTGGGATGCTAATAAATGTGGCGCCCGTCCAACAACTGACGTTCGCTAAAGATGTAATCAATACGGCACCGAGTCCGACGAAACTCTGCTTACTCCTTGCGAATCTGGCTTCCACGAGTGCCAGGCAGTCTATGCATAATGATAGAATCAAGTAATGAGGGCAACTGAGATCAGACTGATCCCTCTTTGATTGCCGCACTTCGAAGGTGAGTTTCCCTTTAAAATCGAGATTATAACGGAGTGGGCTCCATTTTGTCGAGACCGTCTACTTCTCACACAGCTTCAGTTCACTTGAATGACTGTGATCCGAGTACCGAGGTACGGTGGATCGAATTGCCACGACTCACGTCACAAAAATCATAATAAGTAACAACGTCTATGTAGTATACTTGAATGTAATGGAATGTAAGAAAATGAAACAAGAAGCAGGCGCGTTACACTAATCAGATTGTAACGGAAATTAACAACCAGAGGAAAGGAAACGAATACACGTACACCACTGACTTAGCGGCTGCGGTATATCTGATACGGTTTTCAACCACTGGTGCGGACTATCCAGAGCCCCCCCCCCCATCCACGAAGACGGCACGCACCAGCCTGACTAAGTCCCTCGGTCAATCCCTTCATGCCTCTTTGCCACGTCATGGACTGGCTTCCTCACGGTTTAGCCCAGCTTGGTACAGCCACGGCGTATAATGCACGCCGATAAAGCTGGTCAAAGGGCATACGGAGGATATGGTCTAGCCAACGCAACCGATTAAGATTCAATAAACACTTGAGTGAGGAACCCGAGGGATTCTTGCCATAAACCAACTGGAGTACCTCGACATTGCTTGTTCGATGTGCCCACTAAATGTGAGCAATAATCATCAAGCATGTATGGCCAAACACGGACAAACGTTCAATCTCTTCGCCGAGAACTGTGCGAGGTCTCCGACCTATACAGCAACACCGGCCTTACCGCAGCGTTACACACCCTACCTTTCACTGACCGACTGATATCCCACCGTCTGCACAGATGGTTGAGTCTGGAAAGCCACACGGGCCTTGCTACTAAGTGAAGTAACTTTCTCAGTGATATGACAACCAGAGATGACAGCTACCAAGATAAGTGAACCGATCAACTAGTAAGTTGTGCAAATCCTCCACAAGAGC